CCACAGACAATTTCATTGACAATCATATCTACGGGAGTCGTACTTACAGGGCTACACGTAACCTATCGCGCCGTTGTTACTCGAGGTTTACGATGACGCCCAATATCACGACGTTGTTATTGAACGATACAAAAGACGTTTCTGCCGAGCTCATTTCGTCCATTAGTATCATTACCGGGTGGGATAGGAATCGGCAAGAAAAATGGTTTCTTGCAGTTTTTTTCTATCCAGGATGTGCAATTTTATGCCATTTAGCTGTGCGAAATCATAAAACAGCGCTCAATAAGCTCGTGGTACAAACTCCTTCATAGCGCCCTCAAAAGATGAAAACTGTTGTTTTTTTATTCCTAACCTTCTTAAGGCCAATTAGAGTGCTCAGTGATGGCTTGACAACGCACATTACAGGCTTGGAGATCACGAGACGGTTTATCGTAAGCAACAGAGTGAAAGATTACGCCTAGTACTGGTTATACCAAATTCATTATCCCCTCTATATTCCCTATTGGCCTACTTATATTAGCGAAACAAGGTAAGATGGGGTTTAGCTTTGGAACAGGACGCAGATATACGCTTCGCTTCAGGCTAAGTGAGGCCACCACCTGCCATCAACTGTCTAAGGCAACAACGCTACTCGCAGGCAGTAGCTCGAAACATTTTTGGTTAGATCGAATCACTTTATTGTCAGTGTCACTAGTCAGCGGCTACATTATGCAGACGTTTTTCAGTGCACATTCAATAAAACACAGTTTGTTTCATATCGTGTCTTTTGCTGTGTTGGCGCTTGTGGCCGGTCTTAACGGTAAACAGCGGCAGATTCGTCGCAGTGGCCGCGTACGCCACTAATCCAACAAGAGGTCTCCCACTGCATCTATGTTTGGTAATTCGGTAACGCTCCGATCCGTGGTGACATCAGTGGCCACAAGGATTTTCGTTGTCTCTGATCGAGGGGACAAATGCCAAACCGGCGATTTAGCCTAACTCATTCGCTTGTTAAGCCAGAATTCACTGAACGTTGCTGACGTCGGGGACAGCGTAGGAGACCGTAGATGCGCCTGCTGTATAATAATTGGGAACTACAGTGCGGGCACATTTCGAGCTCTACGTCCAATGCAACTGCTTCAAGTGACGATTGCTTTCAAATTATGACGATTCGTTTTAGCATTAAACGAACCATGCGTCTATGTTAGGCCTTCGACCTAAACGCCACCTCTCGTGTCTTGGAATTAGGTAGTTAAGCGCGTCTTCACTGAACCGTCACGGGCTTGAAACGGCTTCCCGAAAAAATTTGAAGAACCGATTTAGAACTGTAACGTTAACCAGGCAGACAGACAAACAGTAATTCACGCCATGAGGTGCACAAGGCAGATATGAAGATGCCTAAGTGCAGGATCTAAGTTCGAATCCAAACATATAAATTCAGGTATATTAAATTTATTCGACAATGACATTGTTTTGTAAATTAATGAAACGTGTTCTGATTCGCGTGTCGTCGTTGGCGGGCTGCGTGTTCCTGCTGACATGTTCGGTTACTAATTAAGTATGGCAAAAGTGGAAGACGTCTCAAAAGGCAATGGTTTTAACTGAAGAACGACGGGAAAGCAGAACTATATTAATTGTAAAAATTGAGTTCAAAAGATCCAGCGGACATGTTAAAATAGTTTGCCGGATAACAAGTTCTAACTTCGTTTTATACGTGCCTCAAACGACGAAGTGGGTAAAGCAGAGACAAAGGGAGAATCGGCACGACAATCCTTCGAACGCAGAAGATGCTTGTAACTGTTCGGTAATAACGACCGATCCATACAAAGAACATCAGTAACCCTACTGAGGGTAACGACAATTTCTCAAGGTAAAACGTGGAGACTTTTTGCGCTCACAAGAGAAAACTTAACGCTCATCGTGCAGTAACTCGAAAAAGCTCCTTCAAGAACTCAAACTACTTATTTCATTAGGTTTCCCGATAAAAACCGGTAGGTATCTACCGTAGTTCGAGTCAACGTTCGATGTAGAAGACGAGAGTCGAACATTTGCGCCTACGCCTATTTTATATTTGCTTCTTGCGTGAACGATAGCTGCCAGTTTATTGTCCGCTCCATCTATCCATCTGAAGGGATGGTGTTAAATTCCGGTTTTATTTAGCCGGCGACATTCATTTCTAGTGGGAAGTCAGTTGAAAGCAGGGGCCAAAGTCTTTATGGTCGGACGTATCGATCTGATTCGTCTTCTCGGTTTCAGTGACCCCTATCCAAAGATAGACAAAGCTCTGTGCCGGTGACAACAAGTTCTTTAAATGTTTAGCAGAAGCTGTAAAAGAAAGGACACCCCACCCGCTTTACTGAGAGGCTATCTTACTAGTTACGACCGTCAATGGCTTGAACAGAATTCTGTACAGCGCGATAGTCGAGTGGCACGAAGCTATAGATCCATCAGGTGTCTGCCTTTTTACTCGCGATTTTTTCAAGTTGGTGTTTACAAATCGCTGATACTCTCAGGGCTGATCGGGTATAGATTAGCTACTGGTATCAGCCGGTCAAAGCACTTTGTCTATTATACGAAGATTTTTTAAAAGCTCGTAGAGGTAATCACAGTGTGACAAATGGAACCGGCTTGAGACACCGTTTTTTTTCAAATTAAAACACGCATACCACTCAACACTGGAAGAGGTTTACCTAGTACAGGATTCAATGACGCTAAATATATGCTTAGAATTAACGAAAGGGAATATTGCATTACTGAATGGTAGTTAGAAGTGTATCTATGTAATAATGTATGGCAATTATTTTTACTATTTGATGCTACCGCGTCAGTTGTTACCGCGGATACGAGCTAAAAATGAAAAAAATATTTGTACCGCGATCAAAAAGAGCGGCCTCAGCGACCGTAGTCGAAGCGATGTCTGAACTTGGGGGGTGGGGGCGCTTAAGAATCCGTATTTTTGAAAATGACAATTACATCTAGAATATTTATCTAGATTTTGTTGAATCGTAAAGTTTGTATTGGCCAAACGCGGTTTCAGATATTGTTAAAATGAGGCAATAGATGAGGCCAGGTGCGCCCGCGATAATTTACGTTCGCGTGGTGTCAAGCCAATGGACAAGCAGTCCTTTGTCAACCTCGGCCGGACCGTGAACCACGAAGCGTAGTAAAGTCGGATCGCTAAAACCCGCGCTTCTCTTTAAGTACGAATCAAATTCTTGTTATGAATTGAATGGATGAAGGTGCGACTGGACGTAGAACTATCGAAATGTTTAGTTAAAAAAAGGAAGTTTATTTTTTGAGAAAGCGAACAACTTTTACTTGAGACATGTCTAGTCAATGCAGATTACTATGTATACAGTCTCATAGCGTTTTCACCGAAATCTTTACTAGCAAACGGCAATTAGTTTTTCTTTTTTTTCCCTAAAATAGCATACCTTGAGAGTTATATGTTTGGCGGAAATACAGAAGTTACTTAACCCCGTTAGAATAATATAAGTGAACGTTTATTTACTGTAAATGCAAATAACTCGTTTTCTACCAAATCATTTTCTTATATCGGTCCAGCTTGTCAGCACGGGTATAGACGACGGCGTATTTGTACTGTTTGTCGCTAACGTCTTCTCCTCTATAGAGTTCATTGTTATCGATCAGCTATATAAAATGTAACGGAACTTGGGAACCATAACTGCACTCTAGGGAGATCCGTAGGGCCAGGTAGCAAACATGCTAAATAAGAAGCTATTCACAATCCAACTTTCGAGAGGAAAGGATGATAATTCTCTACATAAACTGTTTTCACTGTTGGCCTCTTTTAAGGCCCACGTGAAATCGCTGAGCCACTCTGATGGTCTTCGAAGTATAAGCATCCATAACATCATCTATCCACGGTATGTACCCAGAACTGAGTGAATTCGTGTAACTATCCACGAAAAACGATAGAAATTTGGGGACGCTATGCGGTTTACACAGGATACACTCAGCCCACAACCTCGAATGCTCCTATACAGAATAATATTGATCGTGACCCGACGAGATTGGTCACACCTTACACAGGACAGATAATGGGAATATTCACTTTGCTCAAGCAATACTGACTTGCACAGCCCTTGATAATATGATAGGCCTAGTTGTAGGTCGCTGATACCGCTGCCAAGTAAGGCACTCCTTTGCCAGCTCCAAGGAAACCTTAAACCATAATCTGCCTTTGAATGGACGGCATTAACAAATTGAACTACCCTTTGCTGGTTCGATTTCGGGTTGAGGAATTGCCGAGAGAAAAATTCCTTTATTCATTCGTCCTTTTGGAAAGGTATTTGCACCAACAAGACTTTCCACCATTTTGGATTCCTGTGAATGTTCCTTCTGGGTGCAACGTGTGGTAGCATGCGTTTTCTAGTACGTTAACAGGTCAACGGATTTATGAAGAATCATAAGGGCTGACGTATAGTAACAATAGTTATGTACCTGTTACAATGTGTGCAAACTATGTAATTACTCGACACTTTGTCTCGAGTAAAGCGTTTGCCTGTTTTGGGAACAAAAGTCGCCGCGCAACAGAACTTAGTGAACACTTGTTCGTAAGAATGACAGCGCTGCTTGAATGAAACCTCCAGTTTTCGCATCTGCCATGACTAGCTATGATCTTTTATCTCATTTTGCTGTTACTACCATTTTTTCAACACCGTATTTTTTTCTATACCCTATCTGTTGCTTAGAATCCCACAGTGCGATGCGTCATAACGCAAAAATCCATCTAGCTGACCCTCAGCGACACATACATACAAAGCAACAAATATATCGTGCACGTCAACGACGTGGATTCCCACAGCAAAGAATACAGCTACCCGGCCGGCCGGCCGGCCGGCCGGCCGGCGGGCGCAGTCCGATTCTTCGTCGCCGCTCTAGCTCGCAGTAGCCGCTACCTTTGCCCTTTCTGAAATCTCCTCTCCATAACCGCACACTCCTCGTTTTTTGCCGTTTGACGATTCGACCAGCGGGAACCGCGGGGAACCATAGCGTCAAAGGAAACTCATCGGTCAGTCATAGTCAAAGGCTGTACGTAGACCGAACAGCAAGGAACTTTAACGTGAAAACATTCCCTGCTGTTTTTGTCACCCATGTATGTTGACAAATCCCGCGGGACCAGATCAGTGTATTTACACCGGCGCCAAGAGAAGAGCGTCATCAAAGCCACACTGCGCCCGGACGACAAGGATTCGTTGACAAGATTGACCGTGTACTGCAGGTAACAAACGTGCGTCTCGTTCGACGGTACGTGAATGTTTAGAGAACAGGTTGAGAAAGGGGTATGACGAAAGAGAGCGAGAGTTCTCAGAGAGTTGTGTTGCAGATTAAAAATAAAAGTCGAGGGCTGTGTACAAAACGTATTGAACACGGCCGTCGGCTAAGGCCTTAAACAGTTTGGCTAGATTTCTGGTTGGACACGGGAGGCCATTGAAAGCAGCGCTGCCGGAGTTCGTCCTATTCATTGAATAGTATTGTGTAGAAAGCTTCAGTATTAATGGCGGATTGATTTTGACTGCTTTGTGTTTAGGCAATTGTCCCTCTGCATTGCTGCCGCCTGAACAGCTTTGAAGGGAGTACATTTGTATGGGACTCAACAGCTCACCAGGAACTTGCCCCACCATGTCGTTGTATACGGCAAGCGCTGACAAATTTTTCAAGTGTGCCGCCCCCGGTAAGTAAATGCATAGAGTTCAATGATTCTGTTCCTATTCTGATAGAGGGTCTTGTCCAGATCACCAGTGGCAAAGTAATTAATTAATGATAAAAACTTCACAAAATGTTGACTTATTTTAGGCGCTTCCAAATTGGCGTGGATGCACATTATTCAACAGGAAGTATTTGAATTCAAGCTTCAGTACATGTCAACTTAGCACAGACATAAGAACGCATTTTCGTGAACGTGTTTGCAGTCGTTATGGCTGTTTACTCATAGATGGTTTTGTCGGTTCGTGTAATATTCGGTGTGTCATTGCCAAGTGTTTCTCATCTAAATTTATTGCCTACATAAGGTTATTCAAGTTCAGCTGAAGTCCATTAATTGCCTTCAGATTGCTATAGTAACTCTGGTTAGCTCTAGAAAATGGCTTCAACTCTTTGTAAGTCGTAATAGCTATGCTCAAAGACCAAGTTCCGAAGGAACACAGTGTCTGATGAGAGACGTTTATTGTAAAGGTTAGAAGCCAATGGAACGATAGCCTGGAACAATGAACGACGTTCGACATCACGGATTCTCCCATACGATGCCTGTTAATCCCACTGAATCACCCATGGGCAATATTTGTGTGTTTGTGTATCAGAGCAAATGTAGCGATGGAAATGCTGGGACGCAAACCTTTCGGGCTTCCTTTCATGTACCTTCAATAATCCTCCATAATAATAAACGTAATACGTAACAGGTAACTTACGGAAGCTTGACAAAAATTGCAAACTTTATAAAACTCGAATAATGCGGTATTGGTATTGTAGAGGCGACGGAACGCTCCTCCGTCTGTATATTGAAATGAAAAGAAATGTACGCTCTTTTGGAGAAATATGTTGGAAGGTATAGCCTCTGCGAGCAAACACGTCCAGCTAAGTATTTACAATCAACAGGAAACAATCAGTATTTAGAAGAGACGCTAGGGACTGTTTATTCGTACTGACTCTGAGTAGTTTTTGCAAAACACTTGTCAATGACACTAGCGTTTGTGTCATCAGCTTTAGTTATATATATATATATATACGGAAACTGGGTTTTGCTACGTCGGCTAAGCTAAATTTATGCCCATTAAACTCTCACAGCGGTCGACTACAAACCGTTTTGTTTCTAACTGAATTAGTATTACTCGTATTCGATTGTTGTTGTTGTTTTAGTTGGTAATCTTAATCGCAAGATATAAGAGCGACCGAAAAGCGCTAAAGCTCTTTGTGACGGCCATAAAAATCTCTACCGAATATATAACGATTGTCATATATCATGACGAGTTAGGAAGGCACCATTTAAAGTCTCCGCTGCAAGCCTCCTGTCTTGTCGATCGCTTGCCAGGACCGATCACAGGCCAATAGGCTCTTTTTCTAATTAGGCCACTTACAGAATTTCGACTAAAAATCATCATTTAATCGCTGCACAATACGCGTTTGTTCCTATCGTGAAGGAAAGATGTGCTAACTCGTCATGACTCAGCCATTATATTTGTATCCGTTGCTAAGCATGTTCGTCTCTCTACGACAGAGATATAATAGATGGGTCTCAGTAGCTCGAAAGAATGGAACAATTAATTGTATTCGATGAGTAATTGAGTTGCTCACCAATAGCAACATTGTTCGTTATGGGATCGGCTCTATTCTAGACTCAGAGGGACAATTGGCTACCATAATTCTATTAAGGACGTTTTTCTGTGCGAAATGATCCGTAAAAAATTTGCGTCTCATTAGATCGGCCCGAATACCGGGTCGTCATTTATATCGAACGATTATATCTAAACAAGCGAGTTCATCAGAACAGTGCGTTCACTAGAGGATTTAACCTATACACTCGGGCTGTGGCAAAATAACAGACAGGTAAGGTAAACAAACTTTCGATACATCAGGGTGTCATGATAGACCGTCATAGATAAGCCATCCGCTAATATCATACGCTTGCACGGGCAGCCGTGGTTTTGGATATCCAATTAGGAGACAGATTCGCGCAATAGCGCGAACGTGTTGGCGACCGAATATTCTGGCTGATGCAAAACGAATCATCTGGCCAACCCGCAACTCATACGCCACTCGACACCGCCATGTCTGCTACGTTACCTGAACGGACCCTTCAGTATTTAGCTGCAGTTCCGACAATAGATGGCATAAAATTCGACGCTATGGCGCGCTCCTATTCGCTAGGGCACCATGAAAAATATATATATCAGTGAGGCTTGTAGCTTCATCAAATATTCGGCTATTGTAGAAATCCGTCAAGCTTGAGCCAAGCTAATCTGTAAATTGTGAAATTTTGTAAATTATTCTGGATATTGTCTGGTCTTGGGTATTTGTTAGCGGGCAGAACTTATGTTGCTTCGACGATTTATTACACCGATTCGCTCGGCAGTCAGTAGCGGCTTTTGGGTAGGCGTGCGCGAACAGGGGATTTTGTGGGGTGTCGTGCTGTGAGACACTAGTACGCTTACAAAGCGGCGCCTGGGGTGTACGGGCCACGCGATGCGATGTTTCCATGCATTCCCCAGCCACAGGTACGAGCGTCTTCGCACTCGACGAAAGAGACGGATTTCAGGCTCACACGTTTGGCCTCTGTAGGTCACTGCGTCCGTGCAAGTCTTTTAGGGAAGGGCCGCACATAGGCTTCTCCGATTAAAGAGCTGTCTAGGCTAATCATGCTTAGTCTTGCTGGCTTAGCTTTTCTGCTAACCCTCAAAAAGTAGTATCTGCCAAAAATTACCGCTTCCGCACAGTGTTGTCTGTACGCGTAACTTTCGACTACATGGGGGGGGGGGGGGGGTGTAAAAAATAGTTTTCAAACGACAATGATCACGGCCTAAATCAACTTCTGAACCGGAAGAACAAACATCGTTTTCTCAGTATACATTTACTATCATTAGCCTAGCTCTAGGTCTGTGAAAGGATGGCCTCAAAAATCATAGACCAGCAGTATACTGTACTCAAGATCCGCCGTCAGGTCATCTCCCTCGCCCTATAACCAGTGACAGGCGAAAGCTCTGACAATATGAAACTGATTGGACTGACTAGCCGTCTCACTTAATGATGCGGTTTTGGTTGCCTGTGTGAACAGCAGTAGATGTCTGGAATTAGGGATGCCTTATTGAATACTACAACTCGTGCTTGTTCTTGCCCACACGCTCCATTAGGTCTGATGAGTTAAACATCGTGTTGTTGATGTATGCACAGAAATAGAGGTCTTGTTATTTCCTGTTGCTTGTTTTGTGTAGAGAACGGTAGGGTGAAAGTAATCACCTTCGGTCCAGACAGGTCGAACTGCCAATGAGTAATAAGCTCGATACGATTAAATATAAGTAGAATTCTTCTATTTAATAACAACTGTAATAGACTATCACACTCAAATGCTGTGACTGTTAATTTCAAAATTGGTTAACAAATTATAACTATCTCCCTATAACCATACATAACTAGAATTTACAAACGCAAACTAACACAATACCAGCCTATTCCATCGGCCGGATTTACTATATATTTATACTAGAATATTTTAACCGAAACAAAATGTACTTCTGTTATTCTTCTGTGTCATCATTTGTCACCTTCGCAACTGGTCAACATAAATCTACACCGGGGCACCTTTCCGATACACGGCGACACTCACGACGTTCATCGTAACGCGGTCATAATAATGACGTTGACTCCTCAGTTATTTTTGTTTGAGCGCCAAATAACCCATTGTTGTCATTGTGACAACGTTATCTTGCAGCATGGGCAGCAGGAACAACAGATCCAACAGACATCTAATGCGACGCCAACAGAACGCGCTCCTGCTTGTCTCCTAAGTTGATTCGTTACCTTAAGTACTGTTACATAACGACAGATCATTGCATTATTATGTCGATTGTTTCTGACCAGAGGAAGCCAAGGGGGATTCAACAATACATCGCAAAAACTGTATACGTCTCGAGATGACGCTGACGATGTGAGTGGTCTTAGCGGTGACGACGGCGGCGGCGCCGCCGCCGCGGCGACAGCCGTGATTCGTATGATGGAAACTATGGCGGTATGAAATAGGCGATACAACACCCTACTAGACAATAGCACTACTTAGATAAACAACGAAACCAGCATATCATGCGTAGCCAAGAAGCTTCCCCCGACCAAAAGGAAATAGTGTATTCAGAAGCCCACAAGCCAGATCTCACCAATCGGAGCTCAGATCAAAACGAGCTCTCCCACGACCAATGCCACCTGCGCGAATCCGGCTGGAATGCCTTGCGCACAAAAAAGCAAACGTGCGAAGTGGGTAAGAAAACGGGAAAGAAGGACGTAAAGGGATAGATACGACTGTAAGAAGAACGGCCACACTGCAATAAATTGGTGATGGCACATGCGCAGTCCTATCAACTCCGTTCTCTTTGCAGCTTTCAGCCAATGGCAGATCACCAGTGCCTGCAGGCCTCCTCTGTTGTGAGATGCTGGCTGTTGTGTCTATGATAAAATGGCCATATGCGACAGCCATGCACCTGGCGTTTTTACCTTCCCAGACTCAACACCGTCACTGAAGACTACAATAAGTCGTACAACAAACACGTTATTGTTGTTGCTGGTACAGCAGACGGCTGACGGGGGCAGGAGCATAAGGCAGGGGCTAAATCTCTTATTCAAACGACCCGCGCTCTGGAATTGTCGCTGTCGTTGCTAAAACTGGCGCGTGAATTCGGTGCGTAGTTTTCGGCACAAGGAATGGCGAGAGAAGCGGTGAAGCAAAAGCTTCTGCAGTGGAACTTTCCTATTTTTTATGTGATAGTTATTGTTTTTTTGCATTTTGGTAGTTTGCTACGCAGGGCAACTGACTGGGGTACACAGTGTGTACTAGGCACTGTTCTAATGCTGTATTCATTTCCCTTCGGCTATGGCTACTTCTATTGTGACTACCGTAATTATAGTACCTGGTTTGTTATTGTCAAGGTCCTATATCGATCTGTTAATAATGGAGACTTTGTTTCATTGTGTTAT